CCCCCCCGGCCAGCCAGTCCCAGCCCTACAGCTCCTGCACTCATGTGCTCCGGACTCAGGCATGCACATGCATGTGGTTGCACACCCATGTACTCACTAACCCTGACACACATCCAAGTGCAAAGGGCAGTACCCCAGATTACAAGGGGAGATGGCTGCTCTGAGCCTGGTCCCAACTGGCACAGTGGCCCCAGCGCACAGGATGGCACCGATTTGGCCATGAGGGCACTGGGGAAACTGAGGCAGGAGGTAAAAAATGGAAGCATGAAGGCACAGGCATGTCCTCCAGGCAGCTGCACAGAGGAGCTGCCCCATCCAGGAGACTGGGACTGACTGCAGCCGAGGCTCTGGTATCACGTCTGTGCTCAGTGTTGCCTCTGCCCAGGGCAAAGGGCAGCCCCCAGTCCAGCTCCTGGCTCCCCCTGGCATGGGGTCTTTGTGGGTGAGTGGGGTGCTCTCTCCCCTTTGCAGGAGAAGCAGGCAGATGTGTGCCAGGCCAGGCTGCAGCCCCATATCCCTACGCAGCGCGGCCCAGCCCAGCTGTCGCTTTGCGCTGCTCCGTAGTCGCACACCGGTGCTGCTCTGAGCAGATGGGGCCTGGCACAGACGGCTATTCCCGGCTGAGTGCTGCCCTGCGAGACGGTGCCCGGGTCTGCTCCGAGCTCCCAGACGGATGCCCCGCTCTCCACGCCCCTCTCCCTTCCCTGTGCCCCAGCCTGGGACTAGGAGCAGCCAGCTGCTCCCATCCTCCTCCCCCCATCTCCAGTCCTTCCCATCCTCCGGTGAGCTCCAGCCCACCCCAGAGTGTGAAAGCAAGGGGTCGGAGAGAGGCCTGCACCCGCCCCAAGTCTGAGAGCAGGCAGAGCCCTTGAAGCTTGCTCACCCACCCTGGGGCCAACATATCCAGTGCCAGGGCAGCGCCTGGGTGCTGAAGACCCAGCTCAAGCAGGAAAGCACCCCCGCTCCCGTCTGCAATGGCCATAGAGGGAGGCTGCCCTGTGACCAGCACTGAGGACCTCAGATGCTGGCTGAGCGTCTTGGTCAGGGACAATCTTTCCTCCGAGAGTCATTCCTGACCCCCAAAGGAAAGTGGGTGGGAGGTAGTCCTTGCCCAGGCTCCTGCGGGCACCCTGTGCCCATTCAGACCTGCAGGGAGCCCCAGGGTTGGGAACCCGCCAGCCCCCACGGGCAAGAGCAGCGGTGCCATGGAGCGACCCTGATTTGCACTGGCTGAGGCTTGGGGTGCAGCACAGCCCCCCGTGTCTCCTCTCGCCCCGCACCCTGCCCCTGCTGCCCCTTCCCCACTCGCGCTCCAGCCCGCATCTGGGGGGTGAGGAGGGAGCCGGGGGTCCGGCCACACTCGGGTCTCCCCGCTCCTTCCTCCCAGCCGAGACCGCACCGGTTGCCCCGAGGCAGAGCCAGGAGCCCTGCAGCCAGGTCCCGAGGCCACCGCTTGCTCCGCAAACCCCGGGACAAATGCCCCGCATCAGAGATGCCCCCTGCCAGCCGAGCCTCCCCTTCCCGACGCCGGGCGTGTCGCGGTGG